TTATTTTAATCATTTATTTATTTATTCAATTATTATGTCTCTGTTTCTGTAATAGTTTATGTTTTACGTTGCTTTCGATATCACTTGGATCATCAAGGGAGAAGGGCACTTTGATCCTTTAGTTTCGTTTTAGCTAGAGTTTTACAGTACTTGCAACACATATTACAGGGCATAATATGAGGGCCTAAGGTTAGCGGTGAAACTAGAGAGTATCTTACAAAGAAATAGACGGAGGAAACATACCTACGCGAAATGTTTTATAGGAAAGAACGAAAAAAAATACAGAGCACTTGCGAACCAGTGATGTACGATCCATTTTGTCGTGGTCATTCTGGGTTTAACAATAAGTAAATTTTACATTCCCCAGTTCCAATCTTGACCTAGTAGTAATTCTCGGAGATGAGAAGGTGGACAGGCAGCTAAACTTTTTTTCTGACTGTCCTTTAGGGTATTTTTAGGGCTTTATTTTAGCCACGCTATTTACTTCCCAGTCCGATCTGTAATGCACCAGAAGGTGGGGGGCGGGGGGGGATCTAAAATTTACTTTAATCACATCTCACCTTGACATAAAAGAACTGCTCTGGGGGTATGAAGGAAGTGACGTTGTACAGGTTGTTGAACTTTGGGTTCTGTACCAGAGGGAACTTGGCCAGGGAGTTGCCGCGCAGGTCAACAAGTTCAAGGTCGTTGAGAGTGGAGGGATACTCTATGCCAGTGGAGTTGACCAGGACGTGAGTCGGGATACCTGAGGGAAGAAAACAAAAGTTGTGATCACAATTATTATTGTTCGTCTTTCTATTTTTTCGCCCCCATTTTACAATCATTTTATTTGGAGGCGTCCTGCTTCAATCGTTCCTACTTATAGGTCAAACCCCATGAGAGTGAGATTCAAAGGTCCGGCAGACAGACGAAGACATAAAAAATTGATAAACATTAGCGCCTCCCTCAAATGGGGATTCAATTCATGTCTTGTACAAACAACGGTGGTATAATTGAAGAATTGAGGTGTGAAATAAAAGTGTGAGATTCGACGCATTGCAAGAAAATACTACGAAACAAAAACAAACAAACGAACAAACAAATGAATAAATAAACAAAAAACAAAAACAAGGCGAAGAAACCGCTCCGATATTCATTTAAAACACTTTCATAGGTATTGTCGTCTTCCAAAAGTATACGTGGTATCTGCATAACTTTATTCATTGTTTCATTGTTTCAGGAAAGCAACATCCTTGCATTCCGGACACGTCCATTGATGCTCCGTCGCTTTCTCCAAAATACCTATGAGGATCTTTCTACTGATTATGCCAGTGCATATCTGCTTGAACGTTGTTCTGTTCTTTCCAGCAAGGGTGCCAGATTTTCGGCTTCCTTTCTGTACTCCCCAAACCATCATCCTCTCAACAGCAGTACTGGCCTCTGCATAACTATGTGTTGGAAACAAACCCCTTCTGTTTCACCGTTAGAATAACAAATTAAGTATTATATGAGTTGCACAATTCACCTTGTATTGGTCTGAGACGGGTCTGTGAGAAGTCCTCTGTCGGGTACTTGGAGAATCCGCTGGCGAAGTCTGCAGTACTCAGTCCAGTCACGCGCACGGTGTGGGGGCCAGAGCTGCTCACCCTAAGACGCCACGTGCCCGGCATAGGGTCCTTGACATTGACGATGTGTACGTTGTTCAGGCTCAGAAGTTGGGTCAAACCGTTTTTCAAGGTCTTTTTGTTACCTGGGAGCAAAGGAAAGGTCATGTTATTAAAACAACGGTGATTGAAAAAAAAAAAACAATTTCCCAGTCAACCAAAATTAATTTAGACCATTTACCAGGCTGGTTTTTCTGCCTCGCAGCACCAACCCAGGCTTTGTGAAAATCAACGTCCCAGGAGACACACCATACAAAACGTCCTCAATCAATTTCGACCTTACCTCTTACCATAACACCACATGGCTGTTTACTAGTTTCGAAATTGATTTCTCTACAAAACTAAATGACAATCCCCTCCCCCCATTCCAAAAAAGCTCAAATTATAGTATTTATTGCCATCCCCCCCCCCTTTCCCCATACACATAAAACACACAAACTCACCTTCAGGATCCCGTAAAGCAATCTTGGGGTTCTCGCCACTGATGGATACAGTGACCTCCTTAAGGTGGGAGTCCAGGGGCAGGTTAAACACCTGTGTCCTTCCCTCGTCTTCGTTCACGGCCAGCAGGTTCACCTTACGGGCCTGGACGGCTACTCGGACAAAGTTCAATACCTGAAGGAGGGAAAGAGAGGAGGGGGGTTGTGTATATATTCATATACTATAGTTTATAATTATAATTGTTATTATAATCTAATCTAGTTTATAACTATGGTTATTATTTTATGATAATGTGTACAAGTATAAAATAATATATCGTATGTTGAGAGATTAATAGACAAATACAGATACGTAGATGGATAGACAGAAAGAGAGAACAAGAGAGAAAG